TGCAGGGGACATATTACAGGCAAGTCAGGGCTTGTCAGCCATCAGGCTGGGTTGGTTTTTCATAGGGGGAGCCCTAACCGTGTCGGTTAGCTAACTGGCTTTCATATGTGTGTTATAAGAGCAAGTACTTCGGATCGCCATAACAATGTTTTACTTTGTTCTACTTGGTATGCTGGGTAATGAAATATAAATCCATTTTTGGACAAGCATATTTAGAGTATCTGATTCAATTACACATACAATAAAAAAAGTCATGCTAGAAATACTCAACTGAAAGTTTAATAATGCTGTTTTCCAGGATGCTACAAGATCACCACTGTGTTCAGCCATGCTCAAACAGTAGTTCTGTGTGTAGGGTGCTCAACTGTCCTGTGTCAGCCTACTGGGGGGAAAGCCAGGCTCACAGAAGGTAAGGGACAATGTTTGGCAGCCTAAATATTCCACTTACATAAATGCATTTATGTATTTATAGGCTGCAAATATTTTAGCTGTGATTTTGAAAACCGATATTGGAACACTTATTTTGCAAGTCGCTTAGAGTTGGCTAGTAAAACCACTGTTAATAGGCCCCAAATTGCAAATTTTTCTTTGGATTCTTGTTTTTAAATGGCTGCACAGATATGCCAGGCAGCTAAGCAGCTACATTGCTATCAGACACACTTGATTTTAGGTGCTTTGACTTGTCGATTCCTTTAGCCTATCTGTAATAAACACTGCCTATTTTAAAGTTTAGAGCGTTAAAAAGCACCATGAAAGGAGTTGGGTACTTTTGCCAGGCTAAAGCAGTTCTGTGCCACTGCTAGTCAGTTGGGTGGGCAATTTTCCAAGGCAGTCTTAACAATTTAAAGACTGTTCCTATCTATACTCACATGGTTTCTTTACAGGCTGTTCATTTAGAAGAAAGCAACACTGAACACTTCAGCATGTGGTTTTGGATCCGTGTTCCTGAAAGCCTTACCCGTTTAAAAATGCCTGTTAATACAACAGTGTAATTACGATTGATTTTGTAAAAATTACATGCTACTGGTGACTAAGGAGCTGGAATCTCTTTTTCAATAAATGATTTGAAGTGCAAGTTTTCCCTGCAAGTTTGCAGATAACTGAGCTCTATTTTTATAATTCTACCTTTGAACAGTGTATTGGGTGGTGTAATTTCATAGAAAAACCTTGGACTCGCTGGATCCTTTCCCTCGTTAATCATCAACTACAGCAGTGTAATGCGTATGCTGAGAGAAACTGCTGTAAGATGGCATTTTGTACACTTTATTAGTGCAGCTACCCTAACTGCAAGGGTCGCAAAGGCTAGACAGATTTAAAATGGCTCACTTGCTTTCGTCCCTTTACTGTGTTGAGTAACATGATGATAAATAAAAATACAGAGTTACTCACTCATGTTCAGCTGTTTTTCTGGAATGCATGGGTTTTCCCCTCCCTCTAATCTGGTCTCAAAACTGCAATTGGTATTCTATACTGAGATTTCTATACAAAAACAGAAAAAGGGGTCTTTTGCAAAACACTGAAAGCATTCAGTACAGAGAAGGCATATGGAATATAGGCAACAACAGTAAGCCAGCAAACTACCCTAACAGCTCTGAATGGTAGCCAGTCATTAAAAAAAACTAGTACAGCAAAGCCATGCATCTTTTCAGTATTCAATACTGAAATTAAATAATTTCCTGAGGAAACAGGTTTTCAGTGAGTTTTTAAAAGCCATCCCTTTCTAAAGGGCTGTTAAAAAGTGGATTTTTTTTTTTAAACCATGAGAAAACATTTCAAAGTCTTACATATATCTTATTTTACTAAATAGTATCTCAAGTTATGTATCAACATCTCTTTAAAAGTGTCAGGTGTCTTGGTGAGCTAATTATTGTTGGGAATTTCTATGTAACCTGTATACTTTTTATAACTTTTAAAACTTGTACATTTCTAGTCAATAAAAAACCTGCAAAACCTGACATTACAAGTCTTTGCATTTGCAAGGTAAGTTTTATTTCTGGTAGGTCAAACAGTGAACACTTACAATTACCAGATGCAAAAAGTAGGTATTTGGTACAGAGACAGATGCACAAATTTAGTATACATGCCTTTTAAGAAAAGTACAGTTTTATGTCAGTGCCATACTGTGTTTTCATAATAAAGGTTAATTTAAGAGCAAGTTTATCATAAAGGCTGCTCTTAATTGACCAGTTTCCCCCACTTAATGCGAGTCCATCAAATAACTGGTTTCAGAACAAAGGTCAAAGTAGCAATGTTAATTCACTTGTGACCTGAATACATGTGCTAAGGCCAGATTGATTTCTAGTCTCCCGTATCTCTACCTTCTCTTCCTCCACCCTAAAAGATAAGAACTCATGATTAAGTGAACACTAAATCAGAGAAAGGGACCCATTTTGTTCCAGGTACTGGAGGATGAAATGTAGACATCATACCATCTCCAGTACTGTACGTATGACAACAGAGTTTTTTTAAAAAGCCTTAAGTTACGGGAGATACAGTATAAAGAACATGGTATGCATACAAAAAGTTGGTGGCTAAACATACTCTCTGAGGGGACTGAGACACTGTCATTAATACCTTGGTGTTAGACATGCCTTAGACACTTCTTACCATTATTCACTTTCATACATACTTCAAATATTTACATTTATTAGTGTCTGGTCATATGCAGACAAGCATAACAGTAAACCTACACCTGCTCCATTCTGAATCTTTTGTCTAAACCCAAAGGTCAGTGAGTGAAACTTGTTTTCTGTCAAGTATGCAAAATGGTTCTCAAGAACAATAAATACCATTTGCAAAACATTCATCATACAAGAAAAGTATGTTATAAATCCTAAAATAACTGTTAACTTTTCACATTTTCTGCATTTAACATGTCGTATTTGGTCTATTCATGTATTCTTCAACATGAAAACAACTCAGAACTACTTACTCTTGTTCCCTGTGTAAAGTGGGCTGTAAAATGACTGCTGCTGCTGCATGTTTACCCAGCTAGTAGGTGCTCAAGACTGGAAAAAAATTGTTGCTATTGCAGAAGATGCTCACCTCCAAAACTGCTGTTGTCTCTACTGATTTGATATTCTTGAGATAAAGACAACCTATTATTAATGAATAAAACCCTGAAATTTTGGTGAGTGGGCCAGAAAACCCAAGCAAGTAGTTCAGGTACAAGCTTTTACCATTTTAAGGCACAAGAATGATTAGAATTACGAAGAGTACTAAACCAGTGCTACTAGCTTCATTTAAAAATGTAGGTAAAGCACCGACACCTCAAAATACCAAATTTCCTGGTTTGTCAGTCTTAGGTAATAAATGTTACCATAGGCATACTAGGAACAGAGACGACAGCATGTTGTTTCACCACAGGGCAGGTAACAACTATGAAGTCAGTATTAACTTGAAAAAAAGGCAGGTAAGGCTGTCTCCTGCTAGCTGTTATCTAAGACATCTCGCTCCTTAAACTCGGAAAAGCAGAGGTGCTAAATAGTGCAGTAAGTAGTCAAACCTTTCCTGAAGGGTATTTTGTTTTGTCTCAGCCTGGAAGCAGTGTCTGATGTAACTGCAGGGGAAGCAGAGTGGGGGTAAACCTTGGGGGATCGTAGAAATCTTCCATGCCATTATGGAATATATAAAATTAACATATTCAGATGTTATTGTATTCCTATAGTAAACCTGAAGATTAGAAAATGCTTCTTTTGAACTCTTACCACAATTTCTTGTTCAACCTTGTGCAAAAGAAACTCGATGCAGGTCTCCAAATGAAAAAAAAAGGATGGTTTTCAACAAAACTTCTCAGTCTGTGAGACTTGTACTACGGCTTTCAAGAATGGGCTTTAGATTTTATTGACTTGAGTTCCTAATTCCTACATCTAAAAGAATATCTACATTACAGAATACAGTGCCATTTCTGGCTGCCAAAGTTAGCATGTGTTATCATTCAAAACCAACGAGACAGTTTGACAGCTCACCATGTTGTGCTATTTGGACATGTTTGACTGTGAAAGTAATACCCTTATTTCACAGTAAACCAATTTCACACATTCCCTGTGTCCAAAAAAAAAAAAAAAAGGAAGAGAGGACATCTAAATAACAAAAATATTTTTACTTACATTACTCTAGCTTCACTGTTTTCTAATTCTTAACAATCCACAGCTCTGACAAAAGTGTACTTCTAGTATAAATTTGCATTCTGGAGGTAGCTTCAAGATCTGGGTTTTCTTGGGTTTTTTTTTTTTGCTTTTTAAGCAAATAAGAAAAGCACTATGTGAAAACATAAAAATCAACAGTAAAACCATTTTTCTTTAAAAAGTAATACTGAAGAGTTTTGGCAGACTGGAACTTTGAGAATAACAAATTACGTCTTTGTGCGCACAAACCAAGATGTGAAATTTTTCAAAAGTTTAACATTTAAAGTAGATAACTCACTGTTGTACTTCTCAGTGTAAGAACCCAATATTAGTCGTCTTAATCTTGGTCAAGTGCTTGACGGGATGAGAAAAAAACTTGCTAATATAATGATAATTTGCACAGGAAGTCAAATTTGACTGTTACATTCTCCTTTTCTGTAAGTCAACTTCCCTGAGAGATGAATTCCAGTTACATGTAAGTTTAGCACCACTAGCAGAAGTTAATTAAGTGAATTTTTGATGCTTTTTCTTCATGTATTCTTAGTGATCTCGGAGTCCAGTTACAGCCTTCTGCATTTGTTTTTCATGTTTCTGTACAGTGAGTTCAGGTACACACATCTCTTTTTTTTTTTTTAATCTATATATTGTGCCCATTTTTCTTTATCAAATTCCCTTGCAATCTTTAAGGCAGTGCTGTTCAGCGAAACTGATTGCATATTACAGATAATACTAACAATTACTCCTCTAGGTGGTGCCACTAGCCCAGTATCTATAGCTTCAGAGTCCAGCTCTTCAGGAAGAATTAGGAGGACACTACTTGCCCCCACTGCACCACCCGTATGAGATGCATAGTGTCTCTGCCGTCTGCAACAGCCACATTGTTGTTTTTTCTCTACTACAGCCCAAGCCATTGCGTATTTACCATCCCTGTCCCACGATACTTCTGTTTTTGGCACTGGGGTCCACATCATTGCAACCGTGTCTGGTTTGAGGTACCCAGGAAGAAGTTTGCCATCAGTGTTCTTAAACTGTCCGGCTTGATAACTGTATAACAAGGCATTTCCAAATTTCAGAAGGTCACCTACTGACGAAAGAAAGCCACCACCAGCCCACTTATAAGAGTTGTCCACATATGGGGCGTTTACCAGCCGTCCCTTTTTGTTGTAAACATAACACCTAGAATTCAAGAAAATTCAACTTGTCATTCTCAGATACTACGCACAACTATTTTAAACTGCCCTACCTTAAAAGAGCAAACTGAACATGTATTAGTAGCTTGTTCTCACGAAACAATAAAATTTTGTAAAATCTATTTTTCTTAAACATCCTTCTTGCAGAAAAAACAAGAAATTCAGACAGGGAAACAAAAATTAAGGTGACTTCTTAGGTTAGAAGCTTAGTTTCAACAGAAGTACTAACCTTTCTGCTTTTAGGATATACTACGAGTAAAGGCAATATACAAAGAAGAGATATGATGGAAATCTATAGATGAGTCAGCAAAGGATTTTTCTTCAATCCCTGTGCTAGATTTAAAGTGTTTTAAGAAAGAGGAATCCTACAACTACCCTGTGATTATCAGACACTGAGCTGAAATTTCACTGAAGTCTTAGGTGACTGCTCCAAGACAGTAGTTTGCATTTATGATTTCTCCCCACTGCCCCATTACAGTTGCCATATACCACAATAACTGAATATTCTGTAACTCCCAAGAAAACTGAGAAGCATGAAAGAGTCTTGCAAAACCTGCCATTAAAGTACAAATTAGAAACTACCAACTAGAACTGCAGAATGAACTATCAAGAGCAACACAACAGGACTGCAGACTGAACTATGCTTTTGAAAGAACAGTCCAATCATGACTGGATTAGTTTCATACAAACCATGAAAAGGAATGTTGAACAACTATATAACCTGATGTATGTCAGCCTTTGGCCTTTAGGCCACGAGAGGCCCACGTAGTACTTGGAGAGCTGTGAAAAATCACCACAAAAACCAAAAGGGGGTGTAGGGCAGCCTACTACCAAACAGTACAGAGATACATTCCCTATCTAGTCTGGACTTACATTGGAAAGATTTTTGGAAACTTCTGAAAGCTGTAATACTGAAAATCAGAGGCTGAAGCAAAGGAAGAGAGACCAATGGTCCAAGACTATCATTAACTCTGCCAGTGACTTGATTATCTCTGTGTCCCCATAGTCAGTTTTTAGATCACAACAAAACCTGTTACAAAGACGCTGAAATGCTTGACCTGCACCTCTAAAAGATCTAAAACATGACTTTTCAAACATTTTGGCAGTGAAATACAGTATAACCAAACCAGTAAACAAACCACAACATGTCAATATCTTCTAGTTTGAGACAAGCTAGCTATTTGTGCAAGCAGAACCACCACATCAGCATCTCAGTTTTGCTTAACAGTAAGTAGCCCATAAAAAGACCTCCAAAACAAAATGTCTGTCCCCATTCTTTCACCTCTGCCGTATTTCAGTTTGTAAAAGGGTTACTACACACACACATATCTAAAAGAACTTGACTGTACAAGCTTGATAATTTATAAGAACATGACTAGCATCCAGATCTACAGCCAAAAGGGCCTCTGAAAATTTGCAAGCACAACAAATACCAGCACAAAGTGGTTTAGAATACAGCAGTAACGCTGTCCCTAAAAGATTACAAACCACTCTGTGTGTGTACACATACTCACACTTTGAAGATACATGTACGTGTAAGAACTATAAACCTTGGATTCAACATGCTCATCACCATTTTTGTTCTTTGAGAGCATTTCAGAAGCCAAATTTTTAAAAAGTTTGAGTCTCATTTAATTAGACCTTTTCCATAACCAGCTTTTGTGATTCAGTTAGAATTCTTCTCCTGCACCAGAATTTAACAGGTGTGTCAATAAATCAATTTCAGAGCCCAAACAGGGTCAATAAAATAAGACTGGAGAGAAAGACAAGAAACTCTACCCTTACCCACGATATTGGAATGGATTATCCAGTTACATAAATGTCTCTGGGTTTTGTTTGGTTTGTGTGCATGTGTGTTTTGGGTTTAAGTTAATAAAAAGGAATCAATTGTAAAGCATATTCTGTGTTAAACAGAATTTTAATTCTGGTTAAAATTGAAAGTACAATTTAATTTATGAAAACTTGTGTTACTGTGAGACTGTTACAATTCCGTAGAACTCTTAAAAAGTCAGTATATTAAGCAAACCAAGGTAACTACATATTCTAACATAATCTCCTAGCTATTCTATTTGCACTTACCTGCTTATTTGTACCCCAAATAAATGCAAACTTCAAAGTCACCCCTACAACCCACCCGATATATACTCTTGTAACAGGAAATATTTGTTTCCTATTCTGTAATTTTACATGCTAATTACAGAACCAATACTGTAATGCTGACAGAAGATCAGTTACATGACTAACTGAAATAACATAAGCCACTTCATTTAAAAGCCTGGAAAAAGAAAATAATCACACATTCTTAATTCAGTTGGCTTAATAAAGACAGAAAGAGCAACAATTGTGTGAAAAAAAAAGTTTCATCCTTGTTTACCTTGCTCTGTTATATATCATTGCTTCATTGTCATCTAGGACCGTTGACAGCATATCCAAATCATGAAACATTTTTAGCATATAATCTGTAAATTTTTGTCCTGAAACTCTCTCCACAACAGCGCTTAAGAGTGTAAACCCATACGTTGAATACAAGAACTGACTACCTTGAAAAAACACAATGAGGGGGGGAGGAAGTTAGCCACATGATGCTTAAATGGAATCTCAAGGATAAAATTTAAGTAATCACATGTGCAAATAAAACTATATATATAGCAATGAATAATCAATTAAAAGACTCCCCCTCCACTCCCATTTTAATATGATGTGCATCACAAGCTTATGACACTGGGTCCTAGGAACAGCTGTACTGCAGCAGACACACGTGCAGGTAGCTCTGAGAACAGTGCTAAAGAGTTTTCAGGGATCTGCATGGCCAGTCAGGTTTCACGCCAAGATGTGAAGACGGACATTTTACATCTTTTCCACAAGATTTACCATACCAGTTCTAACAAGGATGTCCGGATTTGGAAAGCTGAAGCAAACCATAAAATCATTTCTTAAAAGACACTCATCTACTGTGACTTGTTTGTGCGTCTATACCCTAGAGATGGAGCAACAAGTAGTACTCGCTCAAGGTTTTCAAAGGTCTTGATCACTTTGATCATAGTATTTCTAGATTATCCTCAGAGATTCTATAAACACTAACGTGCATATTATTTACGACATTTATATATAATTTATTTACAACACATTTAATCTTTTTAAATCTCATTCTTGTGCCAATGCCTTTTATGAAACATCTACATATCAAGCAACTCCTGAACTGCCTACAGTCAAGACAGATCTCTTACTTGAAATGGTTCTTGTGTGGTTACCTTGTAGTTCTTGAAGTGGTTAACTTCTCCCCCTTCCTACTCCTATCCCCTTAAATGCACATTATTTACTGTTTATCAGCAATGCGTATCATTTGCCTGTTAAGCTAACTCATTTAGAACCTACATCTGAAGTTCCTCAAAGTCCTCTCTAGAATTAACTTAAAACTCCACAGTAAATAGCCTCAATAATTCTGTGATTCTATGGCCCTTCTGTAGAATTTTTTAGCTCTGGTTTAGTGCCACACTAAATTTTTTTGCTTTTGATTCTATCTAGAAGGCCCAGAGTATGAATACAGCAAGTTGGTATCCACTTTAAAAATACTTTGTAGATAAAAATTTGCTACCAAAATTACAATCTGCTTTAGAATTTATAAATTCAGTAACTGGTACGTTTCATAGCACTTACTGCATTACTTGGAGCTCCTGGGAGAAAAGTATTTTTCTACCTGAGGTCCCACTTTCTCTTCTCCCCTGCATTATCTGGGACTTTCTGTATTACCTTTTAAGTCTTGGCTACATCATATTTTGAACCTGCTGGATTATGGTGCAGATACACCATTATAAGGTATCTATATGAGCATAATTCTTTAAGTCACCAGATTGGTAAAGATATCTATACGAGGCTGTTATCTAAAATTGAACTGATAAAATCCTGATCAGTTCAGTCTTCAAAAGTTATGTCAGTTGTAAGACAATTACATGACCAGATCATTTGTGCAGAACGGCCTAAATACTTCTCCGTTCAGTTTTTAATGGACCACAAGACAATGGAAAAAAAAAGCAAGGGGAGCGGGAGGGAAGGCAGAACAAACCCAAAACCCCACACAAACACTCTTTACTGGACTCTACTATCCTCAATGCACGTGAAACAATTTTAAAGAAAACTTTCACTAGAAGAGCACATTTTGGTCTAAATGAATAGAAACTCACCTGGTTTAAAGAATAAAGGATCGTTTTTAAATAACTTCAGTGATTCAATCACACTTTCAAATTTTTCCTTCAAATAATACTCTTCTTGCTCAAATTCCTTGTCTCTCCTGCCTGGTTTTGAATTTCGGCTTTTTACCTCACCTTCGTGTTCTTTCCTTGGTTTGACAGGATCAGTCTTTTCAATTCCTTTGCCTTCTTTTTCTTTTTGTTCTTTATCCTGATCGGGTTTTGTTAGTTTACATGCTCTGTTTGCCTTTTCTTTTTCTTCCTTTACTTTTGTAATATCTTTCTCATAGTGACGAATCCCACTCAAGTGTGAAACTAAGAGTCTTGTAGTAATAGCGACCTGGGTAGAAAGGACAACATTGAAAGGTGAGCGCTCTTCATTAAAGATACGATGGGCACCACATCACCAGAAAGTTAAAATCCAACATGACGAGGAACTGCCAAAGATGCAAGACCTTTTAAATGTCATGTATTAAACCCAGCTAAAATACATACATATATATGTGCACACTACACTCTTGATATAAAACTGAAGATACAAATTTCCAGCGTTGCTTTTTCGAGCAGCAAACATCAGTACTTCTCTAAATGATTTTTGGTGTTTCAGAGGAATAGGTCCAGATACAGGCACCTGTATATGTAAGGCTGTGCAAGGACAGGAACGAAAATCAAAAAAAGTGTTACCAATAAACTGTCACATACCTTTTCACCCTTGTAGACTTTTTCTGGAAATTCAGGGACATATTTCTGCACGGGTGCATCTAAATCCAGTTTGCCCTCTTCCCACAATTTAGCAACAGCCATCATTGTAAGACACTTGCTAATACTAGCAATTCGCATGATCGTCTCTGGCTTACATACTACACGATTCTCTACATCAGCATAACCCAAACCTTTAAGAAAACATAAACACTGTGGTAAGTATTTTGCACAGAGATATACTGAATTAATTCTTTGCCATGAATTGGATTTACTGGCTCCTCAAAAATGTTTTTCCTCTAGCTAAACTGGGACATGAAGCACTGGACTACCCCTGCTCCTGCTTCAATTAAGTTAATAACATTTTAATGGAGCATGAACAGTTAATCAAAGCCCACTGTATTGGCCAACAGCATCCCAAGCTACTGATTAAGGCTACAAAACAAACCTAATGATAAATGAGATTAAAGATTAAGGCCAAGTTTACACTCCTGAGGTCAAATATCCAATGTAGAAAAACTAAAGACACCAAAATCTAGACTGTAAAATAACTAACAGTCATAAATACTCCTTTTATTGTTCTGAATTAATGGCTGAAACAGTAAAGGGTCTTACTTTACCAGTACAGAAATTGAGAAGGGAAATCGCTCACAAACCCACAGCAATTACCTAAACTGTAAAGCTTCACAAAACAGTGGTGTTTATACAGTATGCTTCAACATCACTCAGCATGACTTCAATTAAAAGACAGCTTAATAGTCTCCATACCAGTGTTTTCCTATGTAACCAACCCACAAGTCTGGTAGCAAGAACTGGAATTAATTAAGGCATTATCGGGCTCCCATACTAGTCTTCAGTTTGAGCTAGGTTTGAAGAAACTGTGCAAGTGGTGTTGCAGCATGAAAACCATGAAATGCAGTAATGACTAGTTGCAGTTTTCAGCACAAGCAAGGCCTGCAAGCAACGCATGTCTGTCTATATAAACCTGTAGTCTAATAATGAACTACTCTGGGAAAAAAACCCTTGCCAAAATACAAGAAACAAACCAAATGACACGTCAGTTGCCCAAGACCCTTTCTTTTACATAAAGTTGCTACTCAAGGGCCTGCATGGTGCTTGTGAACGCGGATGCTGTAGCCCTCAGTGAAAACACCTTCCAAATCTCAAATCACTCACCTGCAAGAAAGCAGGTTTAGTACTGTGCTCACAATATACGTGCAACTTATATCTGTTCCTATTTTTTGCCCCATGAAGAAGGGAAGAGGACAACAAAATGAGGCAGAAGAGTGCTCAAGGCAGTGTTGCTCTCTATATCCATATGCAGCAGGGTAGAGAAAACTCTGCCATGGCTGATGCTCCCATATATAGGAGTCTTGCAACTGGATCTGGTGGTCCTGGTGATAAACCACAACACTGGCACTAGTTCCCCTCAGGCACTTTCCTGCATGTCAAGGCAGGGATTCTGCAGAAGTCTTATAAAAACTTCTGCTTTCATTGGCAGGTGATTTGAGACCAGAAAAAGCTATCTGATTTGACAAAGTTTGTGATTAAGTTTCTAGCGCAATTTTCTTATTAGGCCACATTACAGAGGGTGCTAGATGCTCTCCAACTCACGTCTGTCACAAAAGATAAACAAAAACCTGAAAAGTTAATGCAACAATAGATTGTCAGAAGAAAGTTAGCAACAATCTTACTTACAAAGATTTTTTTTTTTTTTTTCAAATTCTGTAACACATTAACGAACCATGTTGCCATTTACTACCACCATTTAAATTGTCCAAAAAAAAATGAAACACATTATGGAAATGTTTCTGAAAGCAGATACATACTTTGGTGGGTTTTTTAAATAAACATGAAATGTTTACATGTTATGAACAGTACCAACTGACTCTATTTAAAACTGAACTGTGTTACTAGAAAAATCACTTGCAATTTCTGGAAGGATAACACCTGTTAAATCTCAGTACCTTACCAGTAAAAATCTACACCTCAGCCCACAAATGGGAGACAGATCACCAACTGAGAGCCATTATTACTTTGACTATTCAGTAAGTTCTTGTGGGGAGAACAGTTCTTTACTTCCTATGTACCATTCTACCAGACGACTGCACACCCGTATGCCTTAAGTACACTCAAAGACTGATCTGACAAATTAATTGAAGAAGAGTTCTTACACATGACTGTTGAGATATACTAGCCCATTCAGAAACTTAATAAACTATCGATTCCTAAAAATTATTGAAGTTTAACAAGGAAAGTATCCCTTTGTACACCCTAGGCGCCTGTTTCTGGCCACTGTCTGGAGATGGGACATCAAGGGGATGAAATCCCAGCCTAATCAGTGTGCCCAAATTGTTCATTTTTAAAATGTTCGTTGTTTCCCAAGAGCATGCACAACTACTACTCCCATATACTAACCTTCTGACCAGACTTCCCTTCCATCTACAGAAACTCCAACTAGTATACCTGGGATTCCTGCTTCATCCTGACAAAGAACAACGGACAGAAGACATTAAGAAGCATCTTTACAGTTAAAAACCACTTCCTCCCAAGCCCTAAAAAAACGCAAAAGCAATCCTACAAATACACTTGCATATTGCTGTCACGTTACAGCTTAAATTTTGTTAAATACTACTTCGGCTGAACTGGAATAAATTGCTTTTGAAAAGTAGACATTTTAATCCAGCAATTGGGAAATATATCTAACAACAACAGTAATTTATATAAAGTAATTTAATTAAATTAGAGATCAGGATGCGCAAGAAAAAAACAAAGTGAAACAAAACATTACAGAGTTACTATGCAACACGCAAACTGCTTCACCAATCAGCAAGCAAAATTTCAAAGGAGCTCCAGTCAGATTTTCAAAGTAACTGCAAAGTGCGTTTTAAAGAATCCCCGTGCCTGCCTCTCTCTCTCTCCTCCCCACAGCCGTTACGGCCTTCCCTCGTTCTCGGACACCCCGCACAGTTCCATCCTCCCACCAGCTCCCCACATCAAGCTCTGCCTGCCCTAACCTCCCCAGGCACCGACACCTTCACTGACCCCACATTAAGAAGAAAAATAATGAAACATCCCATAAGACAGCTACTGTGACGTTCAGCGATTCACTTGTGACGGCTGAGCGGGAACCCAACGAGCGCCCGCAGGAGCTGCAGGGGCCGCGAGCGCCCGCGGCGGGGCCGGACGGACCGG